TTCCACGTCATCGTGTTTGGCCCCGACTGCTCCTTCCGGTCGGGGAGCGTGACGGAGGGGGTAACATCGTGCTCACGATGATCGTCCTCCTCTCCCTCCTGGCCATCATCGGCATGGGAGCAGGGCAGGCGAACTTCTCGCGGCTGCTCGTCTCCTCCTTCACCCCCCACAAGCTCCTGCTGCAGATGCCCATCATGCTACAGATTCTCATGTACCTCCAGGTCGTCCCCACAGTCTGCAGCATGCTCAACGGCAAGCCCGACCGCATCAGGATTGCGGTCCTCGTCGGCTCCCTCCTCCCCCTTCTCGTCTGCCTCCTATGGAGCGCCGTCGGCATCGCGCTCGTGCCCTCCAACGGCGGCGCTCTCTCCATGGACCCCGTTGACTTTCTTCTCTCGCAGTGCGACGGCTCCTCGATCCTCCCCACAGCCACCGGCCTCATCGCCTTCGCGGCTATCGGGACGACCCTCATCGGCATCTACCTCATCATCGCCCAGTACCTCCACGAGATCCTCGTGAGCTGGAGGGGCGGCAGGCGGCAGGAGGAGGAGGCGAGTGGGAAGAGGCGGCCAGGTCTGTCTAGGCGCGTGCAGGTGCAACGAGATGTGTCGAGGATGATCTTGAGATCGGAGTCAGCCGGTGACGTCAGCCTGACTCGCCCGCACCATCTTCTCTCCCCCTCCGACCGCGTCGCTGCTGCTCTGCTTGCGTCCGTTCCTCCTCTCCTCTTCGCGCTCGGAGGCGAGTCAGTCTACATCATTGCCCTCGCCTTCGCAGGAGCGTATCCTCTGTGCGTCATGTGGGGCCTGGCTCCTCCATTCCTCCTCTCCAGCCTCAGGAACAAGGCAGAGGACAAGCGAGACCTGTACAGCAGCAGCATGCGGCTGTTTCCTGGAGGAGGAGGCTCCTTCTTGCAGCTCTCGGGCTTCGCTCTGCTCCTCATGCTAGTCGCCCTCACGAGGGACCTGCGGGAGCTGCTCCTCCTCCTGCCGCAGCTGACGCGGGGGGCTGCGAAGCTGGTGGGGATGGCAGGGGAGGAGTGGGTGCATGCGGGATAGTCACGATCTGTTGCCTTGCGTTCCGATGCCGCAACTTGACAGATATGAGGAGGAGGAGCGAATGGAGCTACGGCGCAATGCGCCGGGCCATTGCGGGGATGCCGCGACAAAGTGTTTCGAGGTTGAATAACTCTTTGCTTTATCTTTCTATCTTTTCTTCCGTTCAGAGAGTCAGTCTCAGGGCTTGCCGTCCTCTCTAGAAGAGAGAGATGGAAAGAGGAGATTGGAAGGCTCACGAAAATCAAGCATCTCAAGTATCACCGTCAGTGACCCGGATGTTGCGGCAGTGCAGGAATGGCACCTATGGCAACAGGGGGAGATTGATGGAGTCGGAGAATGGAAGCGCATCGGTCCCCTCAAACCGTTGGGAAGCCTCGGAACAGATCTAGTGGAATCTTTGCAGAACAAAAGCAGTGCATGTTGGGCATGGAGCCTGAGGGCCCGGGGAATGGCCCGCAAAGTTGAGTACGGATATTTGTATCGACCAAACTATTCATAGTGCTTACTACTTGAAGGAGAAGTACTATGGACCGAGAACCCGACTCATGCAGTGCTGCCGAGCCTGAAGAGTCAGGGCCTCGCCTTGAAACAGGGCCTGAAGAGTCCGCGCGGCGGCAGAAGGCGGTACTAAAATCTTTTTCTAGCCGGGTACAGATTCTTCATCGGAGCCACCAAACAGGTCCCTTGGAACAGTACTCGCAGCGCAAGTCTCCGAATCTTGAGTCGTTCTGGATGATGCGCTTGTACCAGACCCACAAGACTTTTCGGCCGAAAACTGTGATGCCTCCGGACTGTTTTCTGAACTCCTTACAGAAACGGAATTGCAATACACAATTTCAGGCCCATCACGCCCCATCACATATTTCGCCTCCTCGTCGTATTCCAAGCCAAACGCGTTTCGTAAGCAATGCTCGCAGTCGAAATCCATTCCTTCGTCCAAGCTGCTGTAACAGGACATGAGAAGTAATCTTGTGACGTTGTTTGCCAAGTCTCCGTAACAGTGATTCGTGATGGCGTTCATCGAACGAAGCGAGAGAAGCAGAGGATGCGGAGCTTGGTGTAGATGAACCTCAGCCTCTTCGGGACTGCTCCCTTTGAACCTTATTAAGCGGAAACAAACAATCTCCTCGGTTGTAGATTCCAGTCCCTTGAATGTCTTGACCATTTTCTCTGCTCTCAACTTCTCCCTGAGAATTTCACATTCAGCAACCTTGGTTAGACTCGTACACCGTGCCGACTTGGTCGAGATTCCGGCATTCTGCAGTAGCTCTTCGAGGCTCAGTTCTTGACCGCACTGAATCGCAGCAACATCCTTGAGTAGTATCTCGATGTACTCTAGAGCCTGATGAAGTTTCTCCATGTCACCTAGAAGATGCGGCTCATTGGTACGGCCCCCGTCTACAAATACATACAGCAATACTACCTGGAAAAATGCTGGGGATCAAGTAGTCCTCCCTCATCGGCTCGCAGATCTCCTTGAGGCGAGACTTCTCTCCAACCTGTGCCTCGGAGACTTGATCGTGCCGCCCTGACTTATTCTTTCCGATTGCTTCTGTTTCAAGTCGCAACACAGTTTCATCATAAACTTCTTGATTTGCACAGATTAAGATCGCTTGGTACCCTTCGCCGCTCCACTCGCATTGCTGCTGGGGACATAATAGCGGAAGTACCATAATAGCTGCTTTTTGGTCTAGATGCGCTTGTTGTGCAACCAGGTTGATGAAGTTGTAAGGATTCTCTGCCATCCCCGGCATGTACTTGTTGTCCTCATCGAAACACCCGAACAAAATCTTCTCAACCACATCTTTGGACTTTAGCGTTTCCTCGGGAAGGGTATGCTGCAAAATAGCTGCCCAGTCGGTCCGACATAGATAGCTGTGTGGGATTAAGTGCGAAGCTTGTATTGCAGATGATTTGACCTCACGACCTTTCAAGTCAAATCTTTTCTCGTTGGAGGGACCTGGGTTACCCCTCTTGCCATCTTTATAGGCTGATGCTTTCACAGCCACACAGCGATCAGATAGTCTCTCGAGTGCACATTCTTGGAAAGCAACGCAAGTAATTTTGCCCAATACAGCAGGAGCACTGGGAAGATCGACACTACCAGAAGAAAGGTCGTCAAAAACACCGAGTCTCATCTTGTTCACTATATCTGTCTTTTCCTGGGAAGCCCTCAAAGCTTGATTCTCTTTCTCCAAAGCTTGGATCCTCTTGTCTGATTGTTCTTTCTCAAGCGCATACTGTTCTTTCTGGCGCTGATTCTCTTTCTCCAAAGCTTGGATCCTCTGGAGGACGTTATCTAGCGTGAGAGCTTCGAAATCTCTCTCTACATCTTCGAGCCTCTTCCCCGCTGATTCCTCGTCCTCGTCCTGCGAAGGCTGCTGCCGCGCCCCGTTCCGACTCGCCATGGTACTCAGTTTGCGCGGGAACTTCGGAAATTTTCCAGTGCAGAAATCTATTTTTCAAATTCTGACCGTCTTTGCTAAAATCAAGTTTAGGCGGTAACAGTGGAAGAACAGTATAGTATTCAAATATCAGTGGAGAAGTTCATAAACTCTCATGAGAATTCGCTCTAAAATGACCCAAATGACCCAAATGTCGTCCTTACACACGCTAGGACTTTCAGATTGACATTTGAAAATCCGACCCCACAAACTTTAGTACTGTATTGGAGCTTATTTGTACCACGATTGTACCGCAGGGACCCAACCATCATTACCAGTTGCAGACTTTTGGTACAAAGAATCGAAATGTAGTCACTACAAATAATATCTGTTTTTGAGAGATTCCTGATCTTTGTGGTACACTCCATAGATCCTTCTTTTCCACTTTCATGGTACTAATTCAAGATCTAGTTGAAAATAACCTAAAGTAGCGTTTCTCTCACAGTACAAAAATCGAACTTCACTGCAAATCTGGTACAAATCCTAGAAACCGTTGTGGCTACCCTATATTTTCCCAGGAAAATCTGGGGTGGGCACCGTGGCAGGTTTGCCACCCCCCCCCCTTTGCGGCACCTGGCTTCCCTTGACTGCCTTGACTACGTTCGATGCGGGGTATCCTTGGATCATACACCATGAAGTAGTCGTTCATCTCACAGCCTTGCTATGCTCATCTCTCATTCCGTTTGCGTCTTCTTGAAGCTGACTGCGATATCCATGCGGCCTGCTTCGAAGGCCTCATAAGGTCTGATACAGTCATCCATGACACCTCAGAGAATCCTCCCTCTATCGCCTCCAGTCCAAGAATTCTTGTGACTCGCTCGTATTCTTCCATCAAGACATTCTCACATTGCTGATATATGAAGTCTGCTTCTTCCCGATCTGGATCGCTATTGTAAATGTTCAAGGCTTTTGCTTCTCTTTCTATCACTTCGATGAGGCATCGTAAATCACTTAGCCTTCGACCGTCGGAGGTTGCTGGGGAGAAATCAGTGCCCCTCACTTGTTTGAAATCTGTGCCCCTCACTTGTTTGAAAGGTTTATGTCCTCGCCCTGCATTTCCAAAGTGCCAGAGAATCCATGCGTCATATGTCCTCATTCCTCTCCAGTCATGTTGTGATAACGGGATGGCAGCAGATGCTTCAACTTCGCCTGCTTCGCTGCCGGGAGGCCGCTAGTACCTCGCTTGCGGCAGCCTCGCCTGTCCTCTCCGCGTTGTCGCCGCTCTGCCCTCATTCAAGTTACCGTTGCTGACACGTGCGTACTGCGATGCAGCCGATGAAGGTCTGCACAACAACCTGAGTGCAAGAAGAGGGTGGTTCAAAACAAGGAATGATTCCTTGGCATCACCACTCGAAGAAACTGTTCGTGGTATATCACTGATGCCAACCCAACTTGAACCACGGCGTCTGCGGTGTTCACACATATGGGAAGTTTCACAATCGTGTTGACTCGTTCTCGGCTCTCCTAATCCGTGGTGTGATACATTGATGGTAAAATTGCGAAATCCGCTTGCTCAGTCAGCAACCGGATGCTCAGTCAGCAACCTTGAGGCTATTCTTCATTCCCACATGCTGATCGCCAGCTTGTTCATACCTAGGATTCATACCCTCAGCGCTCGGCATGGTCGTATGCTGGATGTACCTCGTTGCACAGGTGAAGATGAGAAGGATGGGAGGGAGGACGGGGTTGAAAGGAAAGGGTGGTGGCGGCGGAGGAGGAGGAGGAGGAAGAGGAGGTGGTGGCGGTGGCGGTGGCGGTGGCGGAGGAGGAGGAGGAGGAAGACAAGGAGCTGACGTCGAGCAGGGGCTGGTCGTTGCTGAGCTCTCGTTGCGAGCGATGAGGATCACGAGGAGGAGCACGGTTTCTATCGATGCCATCGCGTCGCTTGCAGGAGGGCGTCAGCTGGCAAACCTGCTGGGCGTGTCCTGGCTGGTGCTGCAATGGGC